TACATAGAACATATAACACATTGTGGTCATGTCCAGACATGTGTGTTATTCTATTCATTTCCTAGGAATGTATAAACAGAATTCCCTCCATCCCCAGCACTCTGAAAGAAAATCCTCACCTTATATTACTCCAGCTTCCCATCACATACTTGCCTAACCAGAGGTTCAGGTTTGCTGTCAACTATTAGAATAGATTCTGATTGCTTTGGGTAAATATTATGATTCCTAACAGTCCGGAGAGATAAGTTGATCGGGGAAAAATACAGAGGAAATATGGAAAATTTAGGATAAATTTCAATGTATGTGTTCAGTTCAAATGTGACTGCATAAAAATATAAATGTAAAACACAAAGAATCCATTGTTATGCATATGTTCTGAATTTTCTTAAGGAATCATTTATTTCTCAAATACTTGAGATGTGATATAAAACAGTTGAATTTAATATTTATTCATTTTTCCCTTATATGCAGTAGATAACTCTTTCAAAACCTTTGAAACCAAGTTCCCGATTGTTACTGTAGGATATTTCTACTTTTTCCCTTTTGTTCTATCATCTGTACTTTCCGAAGGACTTTGTGTCCTCTTGCTATATTTTGCTTTAGTTTTAATTTTCTTCACTTTTATAAATTGACCAATTTATGGCTTTTGTATTTATTTCACAGTATGCCCTTGAGCATATAGAGTAAAGAGGAAAAATCCCTGAGCTGAAAGCAAGGTCAATGATGACCATCCAGACTCATGCAGAGAAATCTTAAAAAATAGTAGGTGTTGTAGCTTAGAAAAATACAATGATAGGGAGGAAAGTGAGATACATGTTCTGTTCACAGTGCACTTTTCAATGACTTTTAAACTTAGAGCACAAGATTGGTCAGAGTTAAAGTTAGATTGTTTTTAAACATGGTGGTCATATCATTAAAATTTCTTTTACTGATGAGGTAAACCAAGGTATGAAAACTAAGACATGTTCTAGTGAGAATTGCATGTGAAAAAGGAATTGAACTCCTTAATTAAAAGGCACTTGCATTTGAAGTAATGCAGTATTATTTTGAAGCTCATATGATTACAGGATATGGTATCATAGATTTAGTTTAATTCTTTTTTCACACAAAGTGCACAGTAAGTTTCTTTAAGCAGCTTCCATTAGAAGTACATGTTCAGTGACAGTGAAACTTATGTAAACTAATTTTCTACTGAGACACAAGACAAATAACATACATTTTTTTGTATATTATTGTCATAATTGGTATAAAGTGATCTATGTGTCAAAATAGATTATTTATATTGTTGAATTAAGAAATCAGACCCATCAATTAAAATATAGTCCATAACTGCTACAAGATTATATAGTAAGCCACTCAAGTTAAATTACAGAGAAAAGTTAGTGTCAACTATCTAAAATATTTTAAGATAAAATGTTTGCTTAAAATAATAAAGTCAAAATGTTTGCACAGTCTGAAGAGAACTATGGTAGAGGAATTCATGTTATTATTCCATAAATTTCAAATATTAATTTGGAATTAATAGTACTTTTTTTAGATGGATAAAATCAGACCTAGAGAATTTTTTTTTTTTATTTATTTTTTTATTTATTTTTTTTTTTAAAGGAGGCATGCTTTATTTATTTATTTGTTTGTTTGTTTGTCTGTTTGGTTACACATGCACTGGGTACAGTCAGAAGCGCGGGAGGGCGAGAGAATTCACCAGAGCCAGAGTGGGGAGCAGAGCAGGCAGAAGGACCGAAGCACACTGCTGAGGGGAGCAGCGGGCGGCAGGAGAGGTCTGCGCGCCATGTGGGACCCTCCTCTGGTGGCCGGGGAGCAGCCGGGGATCGAACCGGCGCTGCAGAGGCTGCAGGCAGCTTCTCAACCCAGCGCTCAACCGCTGCGCCACCGGGGAGGCCCCAGACCTAGAGAATTTTAATGATAATGTCAAGATTTTACAGTTAATCAGTGACAACGTAGTTCATGAATTCAAGCCTTTTGTATCCAAATCAAATTTTTCTTTCTCTGATAACCACAATAGGCTATAAAGTAAAGAACTTATTATGAGCTACCAGGGTATAATATTATGTCAAAACTGTAAACAGATGAATAATATAATGTGGATATTGCCCTCTTTATATGGTGAGATATTACTTGAACAAACTGCATTTCAGCTACTACATACAGAAAAAGAAACCAGCATTGCCTCTGTGATGTTTATGCTTGTAAATTCATGCAGAGTATGTCCAAGGATTCAAATAAGACATGTCTTTGGTCCAAAGGTTTGATTTATCCTTCCTTTTTTTTTTTGTGATCACTTATCACTTTCTGTATTTTGTTTTGAACTCATGCAAAAGCAATCAATATATATTTCTGAAGTGTCTGTAAGCTCTTAATATTTGGTCTTCATAGCTTTCTGATATATACAGCAGAATTATAAGAGAAGTAGGCATTTTCTATTGTAAAACTGTGCAAGGAGGTTTCTGTTCATAATCTAGAGAAATTAATTTGAAAATCTCAGTAAAACTTGATGCCTCAGAATCCATCTCCTTAAAAAATGGCTTCCATATTGACTAATTCCCATATTGTCATAATGTTCAATGAAATGTTTCTGCAGTGATAAAAAACTGTAAGAACCTTGTTCTAAGTGGATAGTAAGGAGGAGAAAAATATGTGGTAGAAATAATCACTATTTCCAAAATTAGATTGTTGACTATATCTAATTATGTAATACAGCAAAAAGAGAAAAACTAATCAACTGTATTTGATGTTAAGCAGTGTTTTATCATATATACTTAATGACTTATTCTGTCATTTTACTGACAAAGATATTGTTATATTTGAAAAGGAAAGTAGACTCAACAAAGAATTTTTAATATGGGTATAACATCCTATTAAGAATCATCTAATAAGGACCATCTAATATTGTTCTACAAAGAAATTAAATGAAAATGTTAGGAACAAATTGAAATAATGCTCTAGTTGGAGAAGATAATGCTAATAGCTTTTTATAAAAGTAGTTAAGATTATGGTGCTTGTTTTTTTTCTTTTGCTTCCTAATGTCTAAGAAGGTTAAAAAAAACTTCTCAATTTTAGCACAAAAATCTAACATGCAGTAGATATTTTGGATAATTCATATTTTATATTGTCAAATTCATGTCTTTTTGTGGATAAGTAACCATGTTAGCTTAGAACAAGACAACAGTAAAACATCAACCCATTTTCCTTTTTAGTTAATCTGGTACCATTGTTGACTTACTTCCTTCCTTTTCTCATTGTTGCTGAATAAAATGCTTTGCACTACTGCCTATTGTATGCTTTGAATGGAGCTATAATTTATATTCTATAAAGAAAGGTTTTAAGGCAACATATTTTGTTCCTTTAACTGTATGTTCAAGTTTAGAGTAATAGCAATCCAAAATCTTTTATTAAACAAAGAATGAAATGAGCCAATTTAATATAATTTTAGGCATTGTTGTTCTGATACCATAATAAAGCTGAAAAAAGTTGTTGGTCTTGATGAAACAGAACACTGTCTATGTTAACCTGGTCAAATTTCATATAACCAAAATCTGTTATAATCTAATTCTTTCTGGTAAGGCTAGACTGATACATGCTAATGGAATTCATGGGCCATTTAGGGCTTTGGAAGAAGGCATTCTATAAATATTTGTTGAATTTAAGAGTAACTAAGTATAAGAATGAATTATATTCATGTGCAGTAATAACACTTTAGTCTGAGTAGAATCTTAGAATCTTTCTAATAATAATAACTATCATTATACATTTTTTCATTAAAACATAAAAGGGGGCCTCCCCGGTGTCGTAGCAGTTTATCACTGGGCTGTGAAGCTGCCCACAGCCTCTGCAGCGCTGGTTCGATCCCCGGCCGCCAGCAAGGGTCCCATATGGCACGCAGACCTCTTCTACGGCGCCTGCTGCACCCCTCAGCACTATACTTCGTCAGTCTGCCTGTTCTGCTCCCCGCTCTGGCTCTGGTGAATTCTCTCACCCGCATGCACTTCTGACTGTACCCAGTGCTTGTATAAATAAATAAATAAACCTTTAAAAAAAAAAAAAAGAAATGAATTTAAAACATAAAAGGATGAAGGGGACCTTGGGTAAAATTTTTATTTTTATCTTAAACAAAACAGTCATAGATAATTTAAATTTCCCCAACAGGTTTTCCTAAAATAATAACTCAAATTATCTGATATGGTAATTCTATTCATGGGGATAAAATGTTATCACTAAGAGTTAAGTTATAGTGCAGTTGTTAGAAAGGATTTGTACTGAATAATTTAGTAACCAGGTGTGGGAGGTTGGAGAACTTTATGTTCTCTTTAATGCTCATAATGAGAATTGTGTGGTAGGTCTTGCAGCCACAGATAGGGAGCAGATAGGAAAGTTGAAATGTCACAGTGAGTTTCCCCAGTTATTTATTGTAAACCAGGTGATCTGATTATAATAGTGTTTAATAAAGATGACAATCATGAAATTCTCAAATTTTAGAGCTGGCAAAGTGTATTTTAAGTTATCCAAAAGTCCCATTGGCCTGTAACGAGACTCCTAAATGTGGTGATGAGTCAAACCAACAAAATAAATGTTTTTAATTAAATAGGTTGTTTTATATAGTTTTAAGTAAATAATACTTTGCAATCTGAATTTGTCTTTTAGAGGGTTTTGTAAAATAACCTATAAGCATTTTTAGATGTTTATGGACTTTTTTCTCCACCATACATAAAGCACGTATTTCATTGGTTTTTAGCAATATATGTCTGTCTTTCCTAGGAGGATGTAAATGTCTCTCTGGCAATGTTCTTGTCTTAATTTCTTTTATACTTTTGCACTGTTAATGTTAATCCTGATGACTGTAGCAGAGCCATCCTTCAAATATTTGGAAAATGTATTAAGGCCCCATAGCAATACGAGAAAAACAAGCATTCAACTAATAAATCAAGCATCTTTTAAAATATGTTATTAACACAGATCAATGTGTTCCATTTTTCTCCCTACAGTCTCCAAACGTCCACAACTACCCCGATATGGAAGCTGTTCCCCTGTTGTTAAATAATGTGAAAGGGGAGCCCCCAGAGGACTCGTTATCTGTAGATCACTTCCAAACACAAACTGAGCCAGTGGACTTGTCAATCAACAAAGCCAGGACATCTCCCACCGCCGTTTCATCTTCCCCAGTTTCCATGACAGCGTCTGCCTCCTCACCTTCTTCAACTTCAACATCTTCATCGTCTTCTAGTCGTCCAGCCTCATCCCCAACTGTTATAACATCGGTTTCTTCAGCATCATCTTCGTCAACAGTATTAACTCCAGGGCCCCTTGTTGCTTCTGCATCTGGTGTGGGAGGCCAGCAATTTTTGCACATTATCCACCCTGTACCGCCTTCAAGTCCCATGAATTTACAGTCTAACAAACTGAGTCATGTTCACCGCATCCCTGTGGTGGTACAGTCGGTGCCTGTTGTCTACACAGCTGTGCGGTCACCCGGAAATGTGAACAACACTATTGTAGTGCCGCTTCTGGAGGATGGGAGAAGCCATGGCAAAGGTAAGAGAGACAAGTGAAGCCTTGATTTATTGCAACCCTACAGGTAACTTCACTGGGTGTGCAGACCCTCAGCAGTATACAAACATACTCCATCCAAAGAGATCCTATGCAGAGCACAGAGACATTGGCTGATCAACCACTGAGTAGTTCACAGTTTAGTAAGAACTACCTTATATTTATATTGGTATATTCTTCAGTATTTTTTACTCTCTTGATATATTGTGATGTATTATGTCATTTAATGTCAGAATTCAGTTATCTAAATTTGCATAATTATGCTTACTTCCATAAGTTCAATGAGGACACTCTGTAGTTAGTGTAACTGCTTATGCAATATAAATGCATAAATCCCTCATAAAAATTAACCATTATGACATTTTTAAAAGTGAATCAGGATGTTTATTCTGTTGTTTGTTCAGACTGGAGCTTATTTGGATGGCAGTCATATAAAAATGCCATGAAGTTGCAGGACTTGGATTCTGATCACTCACTTTTGTCAGTTAAGTTGCCATTAACATAATTTTGAAGTTAGGCATTTGGCTGCAAAATATATGTAGTTCATCTTCATAGAAGACTAAGTACTATCATTTTAAGTAACAGTTATTCTTGTAAACCTTTACAAGAGGGGAAGATATTTTGTTACATGACTATATGTAATAATATCTAGTTACTTAACTACATATGATAGATAGTTATAAAGCTGATTTTGAAGTTATTTTTCAATTTCTATATTCTTATTTTTTCCCATTGTTTACTAGAAGGAATCTTATTAGCTTCATGCTGTTGATTTTGTTTTCTCCTTCTCATGCATCTAAAAATTTAACTACCCTTCCACACAAATGTGCAATGCCTAAATAATCAGCTCCTTCTTTTAATCTGAATACATATGTATGTCTTTTATCTTCAAAGTCTAGAAACAGTGATGAATTAAGATTTATGGTATATTGCTTCGATATAATCTTACTTTATCAAATAATTAAATGCCATCTATGAACACATAAAACACTGCCTTCTCACAAAATGCTAGTAAAACATGGTTGTTTTAGTCCCTATAAGAGATAGGGATTCAATACACAGAATCAACATTTGGTTGTGAACTTAGAGAAATAATTGCAAACAAATACTAAAAATTTGTGCATTCACCTTTGACAAGTTACTATTGTATCTGCAGTAAATTTTTTCATAACACATGAAATAAATTTCATCTTCCCAGTTTTACCAAGTGAAAAATGTCATGATTCACAGTGTACTGCAAATGGAGGAAGACTTGTGCTTACCAGATAACCAGACAAAGTCCGGGAACTAGCCCCACCATCTTCGTCATGAAAAATTAGAAGAAAAAGGAGAATCAGGAAGCCCTTAGTTGGATTTTACCTTAACTGAACCCTCTTTGATGTTAATAATACTTAGGAGGAAAAATGAGCTAATTCATTTGAATAATACTGAAGATCACATTAGGTATCTTCTTTTCTAATTTATAGTTGTGTTAATAAATTTTCTAAGAATTATGAATTAATAGCAAAAATATAACCTCATATTTTACATTATATGTATACACACATATATATGTGTACACTAGAATCCAATCTTTTTTTGTGATTACTACTTATAGGAAATGCTACTTTACTATAAAGTTGATTGGTTAAGATTTTAATGCTGTTCCTGATTTGTTTCTTTATAATTTGGAATTATTAATTTAGGAAACAAGAAATATCTCCTTTTTGCCATTATCATTTTATGGGTGAGCTTATTTTTAATTAAAGTATGTAGCTTAAACTTTACATTGTCAAAATTGAATTTTCTGGGAACTATGTCTTTGCAGGAGAAGTTTGTTAAAACTCAGGCAGTCATTTGTTCTCTGCATGAATATTTTTGTTAGTTTCATGTGATGTTTTTCACACAGTAGTTTTCTTGTATCAAGAATAGGAAGTTATGTAGTCATAAACCATTAAACTGTGAGATAGACATTGAAAGCATGAGATTTGGTATCAAAAATGTATGAACTAAAATCCTAGTTCTCTCACTTACTTCTTTGGACTTGGGGAAGTTATTTCATCACACTAATCTTCATTTTCTCAAAGAATAAAATGGGTATAATAACATCTGTACTTAAAGATTATTGGTAAGATTGCATAAGAGCTTATGGGTAAATATCTAGCAATCATCAACTCAGTATTTCTTACAATTATTTATTTTTATTATATCTTGCCAAAATACCTAATACGATAATGTTCCAGAAATTTTTTTTTTTGTCTTATAAAAGTTGAGTCTGGAAACAGAACCTATTTAATCTAAAAAATGAAAAACTGCCCAAGAATTTGATGTGGAAGTTCTTCTCCAAATTGTTACTACACATAACATCTGAAGAAGTGTGAACCTGTACTTCTGAATCATAGATAGTATTGTAAACCAATGTTACCTGAAAAAAAAATACATCTATAAATAAAGTTGTTATTGTAACAACTTATAAAGCATGAGAGGTTGGTATAAAAAATTGTCTGGAAACAGCCCGTATTTTCTATTTTTATTAGTTTGTATTAAGTTTTTACAATCACCATATTCTACAAATATTGCTATAGCATTTTATAAGTTACTTTATCATTTAATTGATTACTTAGATGATGGTAAAAGTGTCTAGTGGAGGAGGCCTGCCTACCTTATTGGATGAATAAAGGAAAGGGTATTTTAGTAATTCCTCAAGTCTTTATTTTTGCACGTATGTGGCTGGGCACTGAGCCAGCAGTAAAATGGCTGAGGGATAAAGGGTGTCTCTATTCCATTTCCACCTAGGACTTGTATGTCTGAGCAAGAAGAAATATGATAGAGAAGTTGAATTTTCAAAATGCTAATAATAAAAATACAAAACTAACTCATAAATGTAAATGATTGCACTAGCTAGTGACTTTTAAAGTTGGTATAACATCTGGTCTCTAGTAGAGGAATAGATTACCTCATATGTCACATTACACAAAAGATTGTGACTGTCCACATTCATGTCTAAGGTAGCTTATTATGTGAAGTGAGTCATTTGCCCATTCAAGTATTTGTTGAACATCTATCATATATCAGGCATTTTATGGTCACCAGGGATCCAATGTGAAACAAGACAGATGCTGTTTCTATCTCAGAATACTTATAACTACTGGGAGATAATGACATGAAATAAGAAGATCACACAATTAACTGATAATTGTGAACAGAGTTGGATTAAAACATAGACAAGCCATGGATTTGCCCAGGGGAGAGGCTTTAATTACAATAGCAGAGAATGAAGTAATTGACAAAAGTAATTTCATGGAGGGAGGGTGTTATACATGGTTGGAAGAGATGTTTTACTAAGATGTTCAGAAGGATGGTTAGGATTTGGGCATGTGGTTGGATGAAAGTTCCATGTGGGCATGCTTCACTGACACACAGTGATGGGAAAATGCTTTCTAATTTAATGAGGATAGAACTTCAGCCAAGTCTTTATAAACCATTGGTCTAAAGGAATGGCAAGTTGTTAGTTAGGACACTGAATTTCAGTCCAGCCTTGAATTAATATTTTTACCTAGAGTTGTGGAAGGGGGGCTTTCAAAGGTCTCTCAGAAAAAGACATTTTCCTATTACACCAAAAGGACACAGTGAGAGTTTGACCCCCAAAGTGGTGGTGCTGAGTGGGAGTGCTTTCTATGTCGCCGGAATAGCCAGTGGACTGGCCTGGCCTTTTTGATATTGTTGAACGTGAGACATATTATTTATGCATAGGACCTGAAAGAGATTATTTGCCCTCCTAAAAAAATTTCAGTCCAGCCTATGGAAGTTTTTGGTAGATTTTCAGGAGTTTGTCTTTTGCATTTTTTAACGGTTATTTAGTGGCACAAAAGCATAAAAGGTCATAACAGATGACAAGCAAAGTTGTTCCTGGTTCATTACCCCTTCAATGCAAGAATGGGGATGCTTAGGAGTCTCCTACCTTCCTTCTGCTGTGCTAGTGAGGTAAGAGAGTTAATGTTAAGGAGATCGCAAGGAGAGGGTGTTTTAAAAAGGTCATCATCAGTTGAATCAAATGCTGCCATGTAGTCAAATAAAAGGAAGACTGACTGTTGTGCATTTGATGAGAGTTTCTTGGTGACACTGCCAAGTCTTATGGCATTGGAGAGGTGTAGGGAAAGGACTGGGTGCAGTTTATATTCAAATGGAAGGTGAAGAAAGGTAGTCTACACAACTCCTTACAGTATTACTGCAAAGTAAAGTAGAGAAATGAAATGATAGCTTGAGATGCATTTAGGTTCTCAAAGGAGAGATTTTATTAACAGAGGGTGTTAGTATAGCTTATTTGTATGCTGTTAAGAGAAATTCAGTAGAGAATTGAAAATGGATAATTCTGGAAAGGGAAAAATTATAGAAGCAAAGTCCTTAATTGCATTGCTTGTTCTTTTACTGTGAAAGTAACCTACATCTTGCAGTAATTACTCTGAATTCTAAAGTCACTTTTTTAGATGGGTGTTTTTAGGAAAAAAGATAAAGTAGAAAATGAAAGGAAATGCACAAACAGAAGATAATCTTGGATTGACAAGGAAAAGCAGATAAGTAAAAGTTAAGTAAACCTTGGATAACTGAGAATTATAAAAGTGATACTTGGGTTAATACAAATGTAAGACCAGACATTTCTCATTCATCACCAAGTGGAATATATAGAATAATTCAAAATAATACATAAACTCAAAATAATTTGCACTTGTAATTTAAGACATATTTTAATCTCTGAGTATTGAGATTATATTTTAGAAAATTCAGAATACTTAAAACACAATCCCATAACCAGCCTGGGAAAATACAAATAAAAAACTAAATAAATAGGCTTATCTCCTCTCTCCCATACCTAAACTGGTCCTTTTCCATGTAGCTAGAGGAACAGATTTATCACCTTGATGCCCAGGAAGGAGGCTCAAACCTGGTGGCAATCAGGTTTTCTTCCTTAACCACTGCCCCACTTATTTTTAGCTTATGTACATGGT